ACTGTATCACGTGATGAGAATATGTCAAGAGAGCAAGAAATAGGATTGGTACCACATAATCGAGGGCATAAAATGAAACATAGAGCTGAAGCATTAGATAGTGGTGTCAAATTAAGAGCACCATATGGATACATTGAGGATAAAGAGGAGGTCGAAATTCCTAATGGTACAAGGCGACCCATTATTTACCGAGCAAATAAAGAGGCGACGAACCAAGCAACAGAATTTGAAGGTGATCCTAATGATAACCCATATAAGGATATTAATGTTGAAGATATTCTTGGACCACTAGAAAAACCCGAAGATGCGGTGCGCAAGCCACATTATCGACGTATACTTAAAAGCAAGCATTTAGAATCATTAGCGAAGGAATTAATGGAAAGGATTGAGAAGGAACACGAATTTAATAAGAAGATAAGCAGATTAATGATAGTATTCCAAGGGGATGATGTTATGCATCAAGACCTTGATTTCCGATTAAATCCTCCACCGGAGACGGTTAGTACACGGGTGTTCAAAGCTGAAGAAGTTGAAGGAGGAAAAAATTTTGGAGTACTCAATGTGGGTTTACAAGGGAATGATCGAAGTAAAGGAAAGAGGGCCCAAGAGGCTAAAGATCAAGGTTTAGTAACCTTGAATACAGTGCGTGAACAATTACAGGAGCAACTTGAACATAGCAATGAGATATTAAGACGATACAATGAGACGAGGGAAAGTGTATTAAAAGCTATAAGACAAAAGAATATGATATATAAAAGATTATGTGAGATTGATAAGCAACGTAAGAAGGAAGAAAAGAATAGTGACAAGACTAGCGCGTCACTAAAGAAACATCCACACAAAGAAAAGGAGAAAGAGAAGGAGAAGGAAAAAGAACGTGAAGTTTAAAAAAAGGTTATATATATATTACTTACGTGTAAGTAAAATTGATTAGTAATCAATTTTAAAAAAAAAATAGAAAAATTAGTAGTTAAATGTAAATTAATATTAGAATTGTTTTTATATAATCAAGTTTAATTATGTATATACATATGTGTGGGAGGTATACATGCACCCGTAAAACATGATGTTTACGCGTTTGCAATCAATCTTGTTAATCGTTTTGCAACCAAAATTGTTATAAATAAAACGGCTTTTCGAAACCTTCTTTCTGTAACATACTAAAATCGTAAAATAATTGTTGTAAGTAAAAATTTATTTTATAAATTCCTTGAAAGAGGAAAATAAGCATTGGTAATTTAATAAATTTTTAAATTTATAAATCAAATGATCATGAATTGATCCTATCCCGCCCATTATTATTACTAAAATCATCGTCATCCCTACGGTATTATAATTATCGAGTTAACTTTACTAAATGAAATATATATATATCTCTCTCTATATTTAAGCTTTCTTGACATTTTTCTTTGCACCATTGCTTTTTATCATCACCAAAGCCAGGAAAGTAAATACTACAGTAAGACCAATAAGTAATAATACAACAGGTATCCTTATGGCATATGATCTATCAGGAAAATATTCATGTAATGGATGTCCCTCATCAACAAATGGCTATACAAAGCAAATAGAGGATTTTTTTTAAAAAAAAAAAAAAAATACGTATTTAGATTTAGAAATAACTGAAATGTTTATTTAAATTTTTTTTTAAAAAAAAAAAATAGTAAATTACCATAATCAATGCCCATATCGTATAATATAAAAACAATACTACAGAGGTTAAAAGTAATGTTGCACCAACTGCTTTATCACTAAATGCCTGAATCAAGAATTAATTAAATCGAATTCAATTAATAAAAAAAAAAAAATGAATTAAACATTTAAAAAACGAATTTTTTTTTTAAAAATAATTACAAACCATTTATTATTAATAAAAAAATAAAAAAAATAATAATAATAATAAAAAAAAAGATTATGAAATATAAAAATTTATAATTGACTTTTTTGATCAACAGAAAAACTGATCATTTAGAAAAACCTAAACTTTCCGAACCATGTACAAAATTGATCTAACCGAAGTAATATAACTAAAGTTGATCTTGACCTTTTTGATCTAAATGAAAATTCCTTTTTTCAAATTACTTTCTTTCTCGTATGGAAAAATCTATTGTGTAGACACGATCGATAGTCACATATTTCTGGTTACTGAAACGATAAAAACAAACGCATTGAAATTTCATAGCACAAATTTTTATCTTTAACGGAAATAAATTGATTTTGTTTATTATGATTTATATAGTTGATCAAACATTCTAGATGGACAATAAAAAAATCTAGGGAAAAAAATAGTTCGGATAAAATAAAAATTTTTTAATGATAAACTTGTATTATTGATTATTTTTTTTTTTTCTTCTTTTTTTTTTTTATAATTTGGATCCTTTGAAATAATATATATATATATATATAATTTTTTTTTTTTCAACTTGATTACTTCTTGCATCAACTGTAAATAATAAAATTACATTTGAAGACGATGAAACAATTTCAAAGGAAATACTAATTCACACGATTACGTTTCATTTTATATCTTTTTTTATAAAAAAAAAATTAATGGTGGATTTCTATATATATGATTCGATAAAATTAAAATGTATCATCTTCATATACTTCTGCTTCAGCTGCTCCTTCGGGTGGAACTTCAAATCCATCCTAAAAAAATAAAGGTAAATAGTTATTAATAAAAGAAAACAACTTAAATATTTAAAAAAAAAAAAAAAAGATTAATCTTAAAGCGTACTTCTGTGCTATAAAGAATGGCTTGAACTTCTTTCAATAATTGGTTTTCTGGTTCGACATCGAGTTGCTGTTGAACCAGGATTTCGATATCTCTAAGTTTTCCAAAGTAAAAATCGCGTTCCTTTTCGAGACCATCTACGGTAACTTTGAGTTCATCTACTTGTTTGTTTAATTCGATCATCATTGAAGCTGATTGATTGGATTCATGTAACGATGAAGATGCCATTCGTCCTATAAAATGAACAAGATTAGATCACTTAGTGAAAATTATTTTAAAAAAAAAAAAGAATTTATTTTTTAAAAAAGGTTATTCACCCGCTGTGCTAGCGGCAGTGGTCCTTTTTGCCATGGTCTTAGTGGCGCCACCACCGGATACTGATTTTACAGCACCTACTTGACCACCACCACGCCTTGCTACGGCGTCATAAGGTCCACCAGGATAATATGTATCCCAATATTTCTTCATCCATTGTAAGAATTCAAGATTATCTTGAAATTTACATTTAACAAGTCGTTCGACGGGAATCATCTATTTTAAATCAGATGTACAAGTTAGTTAAAAGATCACAAAAATTATTAAAAAGAACACATAAAAAGTTAAACCTCGATTTATTCTGTTTACCTTATCAATTTTGTGTTTGTCAAAAGCTGTCTGCAACACTTTGAAATTAGCGACGTACTCATATTCATGTCTCGCATTAAACTTAACCTTTTGCATTTGAACATCCCCTAAATATAAAATTTTAGTTATAAGTCTTCAAATCGATGATATAAACCAAGCTTTTAAAAAGAACACAAAGCTTATCATATTTACCGAATACGGAGTCGATTATTTGACAATGAGCGGCGCCTAATTTCGATAGTTATTTAAAAGCGTTAACAAAGTATTGAACAAATGAGTCGTAATATATGACTCTTAACGTTTATTAGATGTTAACTGTCAAAGACAACTAACTGAGAAAATAGTTTTACTTACCCGTTCCACATTGTTCAACCTTTGTATAGTTGATTTGCAACAAGTCGTTCATCCACGCGATTAGTTCTGTTCTTGATTCGCTACTCATGGTGATATAATGTTATTATCAAGTTCTTCGATGATCTCGAGAATGTAAAAGAGGAAAAGAAGAGGAAAAAAAAATTTATTCCCTCAAAGAAACTAAACAGCTGAGATGATTTATGGTGGTTGGGGAGCTGAAAGAACTTCTATGTTTGTGTCACAAAAAAAAATTTCAAGACAATATCAAGTAACTAATAGACTTTAATTACTTTCTTAGGAAAAGATCAGTAATTTTCTATGCCGGCTTTCTCAAAATGTCAGCAAAAATCTTTTGTTTATATATAGTAAATTGTGATGTTACATTTTATAATGCTGAGCAAAGTTATCATCAAGTTCATTACAAGTTTAAAATTTTTTTTAATGTAATCGTAAACCAATAACGAGACATTTGTCTCCATGGATTTGGGTTATTTGAAAACACAAACCAGAAAATGCAAAAGTTAACAAGCAGCTTGTTAATTGCATTGTACTAATTCGTTAGACATTGCAGAAGCAAAAATGAAAACACTGGTTCCACGCGAAATCAATGCAGCAAGCAAATGTATATTTGTCAAAAAATTGTACGCTTTGTTGATGATCTTGTAATCCATAATTGTTGAATGCAATACGTCAATCAGCAAAAAATAATCTAAGGTTTTTAATTTAATTAATGCATGACTCTTTTTTTTTTATAAAAAAAAAAAAAAAAATTATTAACAAATAAAAAACCAAAAGTTCTTATTAAATATATTTTCGCTTAGGCAATTGTCTGTTCATTACATTGGTGTAACCTCACGTCTAATCAAGTTTATGTGTCACATGATCAGTTTTTAAAATTGTATCATGTGATTGCTGAAAAGCCAACTTTTAAAAATCTCGTAGATTATCATTTTTGCTAAATATAACCGATTGATTTTTTTATTCAACAAAATAAATTTGCAAAATCCAAAGGAAAAAAAGATGTGAATTAACATCGAATGATTTAAAGGCAATTATATACAAAATGCCGATCTTGATGCATCAATTATTTTCCTTGCTTTTCGGAAAAAAAAAAAAAAAAAATGTTTTTAAACATACTTATTTACTTATCTATCTCGTCCGTTTAAATGTTTGTTTGTTTGTTATAAACCCGAATGTCCAAAGACCCCAAATGTTTCCGATTATAATACAAAGTGAAATACAATAAAAGATACAATTATAGTAGTACTCTTACATAGTATAATAGATTCTATTCATATTGGGATGACGAATAAGTAGAACTAACAGAACCGCCTCCTTTACCGCCTACAATTTTTGCTCCTAATGTGGCAAATAATCCAGGAGAGCTAGAAAGCTTTTTATCTTTCTTTTCTCCACCTATACCTCCAACTAAATTGGTTCGTTTTAATTCTGATGACGATTCTTTAATTGCACCATCATATGAATTAGCACTACTTGATATCGAATCAAAGATAAATGATCTCTTTTTTGTTATGTTTTTTGTTTTTTCTTTGTTACCTTCTATATCACCAGAATTACTTCTTTGTCGACGCTGTATTCGTGGTCGTAATTTTAACGATGCTTGCGTTGACTGTTGAGTTGGCAATGTTGATGTTCCACTTAGATTTTCATGGTTGGAACTGAAAATTCCATATCGCTTTGTAGGAGAAACTGTATGTGATTTCACAGCGGCTTTCAAATTAGAAAAGAAACTGTTATTTGTTGAAGTTGGTGATGAATCTGGTGATTCTAAATGATCTTGCGACGAACTATTCACTGCTACATTCAGAAATTGAAATTCAGGAATTACTGGTGATTTAAATGAATCATTTATCATCGAACTGTAATAAAATCATGTCATGTAAAATTTGACGTTAAAAAAAGAATTAACTAATAATGCTACTATACATTCTAAATACTATGAAAATAATTACTTTACCTAAAGTTATCATCATCAAGGGGGGAATTATGAGATGATATTCCATTTTCTTGACATATTTGTTGCCAAGTTTTTAAATGTTGCCCATAAACTTTATTCACATATGATGGTGTTTCCTTTTCATCTTCCAAAGGTGTGGGCATATTATTTGTGCTGTTAGTAGAAAATCCACTATCATTCCTTGAATGATCTTGACTTGAAGCAACAGATGGTTCCTTATGATGTTGAAAAGTTAAAGACATGGGTGACATTTCTTCACGCGTAGCTGATGTTGAAGAATATCGTCTATGGATTTTCATGAAATCTCTTGATCTACTACTACAAGATCTCCTTAAAACAGAAGACGAATCGTCGACAGTGCCAAAAAACTTCATAACATCATCCGGCAGTTTATATCCTCGTAAATCAACAGTTTTAGGTGAAATACAACCAACTTGTGACGGATCGAACCCTCGATTCATCTCTTCAATATCTTTTATCATTCGATCAATTTCACTCGTCGTGTTAGATCGATTTCTTTTATGAACATGTGGGAATTGAAATGATTTGCTTGGATTCGATTGATGTCTTGGAGAAAAATCTGTATCATTCTTACAATTGTAAAGTTGTTCTCCGCGATGTCTATTAAGCATCATGGGAATTGGTTTAGAGTTTTCTATCAAATGTCCTTCCGAAAATTGTTCATGAG